TCAGGGTGTCTAGATTGTAGAACAAACTCCCTCCAGAGGTGGTGCAATCACCTACCCTGGAAATCTTCAAGAGGAGACTGGAAGGTCACCTTGCTGGGGTCACCTGACCCCTCAGTTGTCTTTCCTGCTTAGTGCAGGGGGGCTGGACCCAATGATTTTGTGAGGTCCCTTCCAGCCCCTTACAATCTATGAATCTTCACCCAAAGTCTTGGGGAAACTGTGCAGCCAAGTGCAAAAGCAGCTAAAGTGGATAGGAAATACTTAATTTACTTCTCATTTTTTGTCCTGTGGTATGGGGCATAATCTGAGAGAGGGGCCATTTCAGTTGCAATTGTACCTTAAAGCTATAAGATTTTCTGGCTTCTTGGATCAGGAAATCTTGCCTAATATCTTTTGGGGGGGGGGGGGGTATGAATAGTATATAAAGCAGCTATTTTTTAAATGGCATCCCCCGAAACCTGAAATTCTTGGATTTTCACATCATTAGTCAAAACTATTATTAAACTATAAAATTTTTGTTCGACACTTACTGTTTTGTGGACTAGAACTTTTCTCACAGCTTTACCCGAAATACACAGTGCAGGGGAGCAAATGTTCAGTGTTGTTAAGTGTCTGAAGTAAAGAGAAGTCAAATGAGAATAAACAGCCCTGAAGCCTGTTCTCCTGCTCACAGTGAATGCTAGTGTAACTTTATTTTCCATTTCAATTCATTTGGAACACGGAGTTACCGAAAATCCTCCCATCTGAGAAATATGCCTGCGTAGCTGTGGAGTCAGCTGCTGGCAGCCACAATGTGAGCGGATGCCACTTTTTAAAAAAATTGCAGTTTCTTTCTTATGAGACTTTCTTGACCTTTAAAAATTGCAAATATTCTTAGTTTTGATTTCTAAAATTGGGTTAAGTGAATTATATTACTGTTACTTAGTTTGTGTATGTGTTAAGTGTGTGTGTATGGCGGGGAAGGAGAGGAGTCCTTTTTTGTTTAAACAGGACAGGAACTACATTTCTCTCGCACCATTTTGGATGCTGCTGCAGACTTAATAAATGGGAATTCAGCTTTGGCAGTTAGCAGTGGGAGAATGAGGAGGTGGAATTTTTGTTTAAAAATGCTTTATAATTTTTAATATAAAGACCACACCGTGTACATATTTGTTTTCTGTTCCCCTCGATCTGGTCCCTTGTTCTGTTGCCATTTAATGAACAGCTTGGTTATTTCTGAATAACTCTATAGAAAAGGACTTGCTGCTTGAGGATGAGTTGGTATTTACCAAGAATTTTGTACTTGTTAGTATTTCTTTTCCTTCTAAAGCTAAGCCTACAATGAGCCCCGTGAATCGTCCTGAATTTTGCCAAAGTTCAGATCCATATTTGGATACAAAATGAGTGGCTCGGATCCACTTCTGATTAATTCCCCTCTGTTGGCTCCTGAGTTTCTGATTTAGATCTGAAAAGCAATTCTGTAATTGCTTGGTGGGCAAGCATTCATGGAAACAATAGAAATAAGCTTATTATCATACCAGTGTGATAATTTATCATACTGGTAATTTATGATGCCAGATCCTTTCCTTTTTGGACTGCTCTGAGTAGTACTCCTAGCAGATTTAGGTTAACTTCTACATTAAATGTCAACCCTGCTAATACTTATTGTTCATTGCTTCATTGAACTACAGAGTATGCCTGAAAAAAAAAATGTATATTTTAATATCAGTGCTGGGGTTTCAGGAGTCATACTGAAGCAGAACACCCTGTTCTGACAAAAGATGGATGTTAGAATCCCCCTTTTAAAGAGAAAATTTCAAGATGAAATCAGAAGCCAGTTTTCCCTACTGTAATTTCAACGAAATCTAGACAAGAATTTGTCCTGCATATCTTTGAAAATGTCTTACATATGTTAAATTGGTAATACTGTATAGATTTTTCTGTTAAAAAAACTTAAGGAACAAAAGGGAATGGCAGATATAATTGGAAACTTTGTTAATTTTTCAAATTGGAAACTCCTCCATTCTATTTTTTGTGATGCTCCATTTTTAGAACACTTTATTTAGCACCATATAGTCACCGTCGTGGATTTCCTCAGTTTTGTCAGTCAGCGACTCTGACTTATTTCCCTTAGGTGTACAAGCACTTTTGTGTTTGTTGGGTTTTTTTATTCCTGGCCCTACTCATATATATGTATACATGTGTGATGCTACAGGATCCTATTGCATTTAACTTGAAAAGAAAATAAATTTTATTCAATGTCAAGAAAACTTGTATTGCTTTAGGTGAAACCCTGCTAAATTTTGCTTTTGATTTCAGTGGGGCCAGGGTTTCACTCATTGATGTATACTGAGCTGGTTTAGAAGTTTTTTCAGTGATTTAATTGGCAGAAATTAAAGAAATTTCCATAAAATTGAAACTTTTGGTTGAAAATAATTTTCACAAATTATTTCTGAAGTAACTGCATAGAACAAAAAACTCCCTTTTAGTTTTTGAATTGACCCCACATTTTCACTTGGAGTTCATACAGCATTTTAAACTGCTTGTCCTTCTGGTGTCTCAGGCATGCTAGTATCTGATGCCTCCATTCTTTTCTATGGATTACCTGGCCCAGCTACAATCTCTGGCATGTAGCTCAGGTCGGCTGCATTGCATAATACCATAATGTCAAATACAGGATTCTGGGGCTTAGATAGTTCAGTGGTTTGAATAAGCATCACAAATCCCTTGCTCCTAAACTTAACTGCATACGTACTAGAAACAAAGGGCTGTGTAAAATAGAGTTTAGACTCGGCCATTACTCAGCAAGACACTGTTCTACATCTGAGTAGTGGCAGGTGACATTATGCTGTGCAATCTGGTCATGCAAACACCCTGCCTGAAATGATAGCTATAAAGGAGAATATGCTGCCCCCATTGACTGCAGAGATACTGATTCTGAAGCCTGATGAGGGGACCATTAAATTTCTGGGTGAAAATGCAACATTAAATAATTTACTGCTGGTCCTTTTAATGGAAATATCCAGCTTTTAGAGATGGTGGTGGGGCAGAGTTCTCTTGCATTTTCTCCAGTCTGATTGGTGCAAATTCTTTTAAAAATATGAAGTCATTAAAGTCGGTGGTAGTTTGGCCAGACCCAGATTCTGTGTGCTGCTAAGTACTGTTGGGTCATACTGGCTTTACTCCTTGCACTGCTGGATCCAGTTCTCATCTGAATATATCCTTGCTTTCCTGGGTAAATTAAGATGTATTTTTATATAAAGTTTTTCTTGAACAGAGCAATCAAGGGGTAAATGAATAGACTCTCTCTCACTCATTTCTCTTCATTCCCTTTACTTCTGTGGAGATACATGACTGGAATTCCAGCCACTGCTACTCTGGATTATATTTCAGCACACAGAAGTATGTAAAATCAATGACTTGATGAAAAAGGCATTTAAGCTTCATTCATTTTAAAATGACTTGTAATGGTTAGAAAATGACATGCGGGGAATACTTTAATCAATGCCCTCATAGTTTATTAGGGGCATACTAATGGTGATTTTTCCCCCTCCTTTTCCTATAATATGTACAAGCATATCTCCATTGCAAGTTATTTAAACCTCAGCATTCAGGAAATGTCTATGTTGTTCTGCTCTGAACTCTTCAAGTATACCACAATGCTCTACAAAAAGACTGGATTGTGGGTTGACTGGGGCTCTCAATTTTTTTCAGTTTAGCTCAGTTTGTTTTCCATTGCAATCATTCCATCTCCTCAATACAGACACAGATGTGCTTATTCACTCTTTCAGCCCTGCACGTACTGTTGCTTTAACACAGGGGTGGGCAATATAGGGCCCGGGGGCCGGATCCGGCCCACCAGGCCATTCTATCTGGCCTGCAGGGCCCCTAAAAAATTTAGAAAATGTAATATTTATTTGCTCCTAGATGCCTGTCAAAGATGACAGGAGCCAGGGGCAGTAGGACCCAGGGAAAGCCGGCAGCAGGACCCAGCGGCAAGGCCCACCCAGCCCTGCTCCCCCAACCAGAAGCCCCTTCCTAGCAGAGGCTTCTGGCCTGGGACTGTGGGGCTGTTCCTGCTTCCCTGCACTGGAGAGGGAAATGTGGCCCTTGACAGCTTGCCAAAACTTGGTAAGTGGCCCTCCACCCGAAATAATTACCCGCCCCTGCTTTAACTCCATGTAAAGATGAGCCCTAAAGCAAACACCTCATAACTTTTGAAAGGGCTGAAAATCCAGGCCCCAACCTGAATCCCAAATTTATGAGGAAGGCTTGTGTGTATGAGGTTCCACTTGGAAACTGGGTTGCATTCTTTTCTCTATTTGTAAAAATGTTATTTTTCTCTTGTGGATTTTTTAAAAAGTTTTTAAATAGAAAAGACTCCAACCTAATTGCTAGAAGGCATCTGGAGCACTCCTGTGCAGAGGAAAATGAACCTCAGAAAACAGTTGTCTTTCTCCTGATCTCTTTTAACAACATTGCAGATAGAAAACAGCTTGAAGCTGATACTGTAAGAAATAAGATTTCCTATTGACAATCCCTTTCTAACAGCTCTGTGATGAACAGTGATGCAGCCTGCCATGGTGGTAAGTTTCAGAAGATGAGTTAAACACAGAAGATAATGGAAAGGATTTTGGTTTGTCAGTTCCTAGCCCCTGCTGTCACAGGATATGAGTTGCGTGGGATGTACTCGCCTGATCCTGAAAGGTGATAGCTCGATCAGTATATTAGGGGAAGGGGAAGGGGAAGCGGAAGGGGAAGGTAGGGGTGAGGAGGGGAAACTCTTTCAATTTGTGGTTAGTGTTGGTACATGTTTACTTTGAAATTTCCTGCTGGTGTCCAGGTAAACTGAGGCTTATTTTGTTCACTGTCTTTCTTCCTGTCTGTCTGTCTTCTCTGTCTCTGTTCTGGACTTGGCCGGGCCATGTACAAATCCCAACCATTCAACAGTACTGGAGAGTAGATAGTATTTACCTCAATAATGGTAGTTTCTTTTCGGTTCTTTTTAACTCTCAATTCAGATGATGGTTCGAAGCCAACACCCACCATGGAGACCCAGCCTGTTTTTGACGGGGAAGGTAAGAGCCTCCTCTTTAAAAAAAACTTTTCTCTCTTTTGCTCACACATTTATTATCTAAACACATTTTTTATCCCACAAGTAGAAAAGCCCCCAAATCTTGTAAGTCATCTGCATTTCAGAGTGCCCTTGGGACATGAGGCACTTTTCCAAATCTTTTCACGTCCTCCCTTCTTCCCTCATTTCCAACAATAACACCAGTTGGACAGAGCCTTTGGGTAACCTTGGAGAAAAAGGTGTCATGGCTAAAAAATGCTCATTGAGTCAGAAACATCCGCTTCCTTTCTTCCATCCTTACCCCTGTTGCGCTCTCCACCCCCATGACACTGATGCTGGGAGTTTTATAACCTCTGCAAAACACCAAGGGGAAGAAAATGCTAAACCATGGCCTGCAAATGTTAACTGGGAGGAAAAATGTTGGGAGGCTTCTTTATTTACTGCTTTCTTTTAGTGACGCATATACCATTAAACAAATTAAGTCAGTGTCCTGGGCCCACCTAATCCTGGGCCCACCAAGGCAGTTTCCTCTCTCAGATGTGTTAATCCAGGGATTTCCACCCACCTCCACCCTCCTCAATATGCTGTTGTCTCTCAATCTACTGGACTCTTTGAATTAAAGCAAAGCTTCCAAAATCAGTTAAAACTAGATTTGGGCTGAAACCTGACCCCTTGATAAGAACTATTTTGAATGCCATTGCTGGGTAGAGAGAGCTTCAGACTTTAACACTGTCTCTAGGATTGTAAAACTGGTTCAAAGCCAAAAATGGATGGGACCTTGCAGGAGTAGATGGTACTGCTGGTAGCTCCTCTCTTCTCACACAAATAGATGATTGTGACAATTCTGTATGAGAAAAATAAGCTTACTTAGCAGCAAGCAGTTACAGTCCCATCACTTCCACTCAGTGAATCTAAGTTTTATAACTTATTTAATATATAAAATTATATGAAAATATATATAATATTTCAAAACCAACTTTAAAAAAAATTAGAAAAATGTACCTGGGGCAAACTGTTGCATTCCCACATAAATAAACAGAGGCTCAAATCTAGTGGTCTATCTAATGCTTACATAAATATTGTGCCTTCTGGCAGCCTTTTGGCAACACTCTGTATTGTATTAAATTGCTGTTTGTAATAACAGTGTTTATGCCCTTTCACTTTTCCCCAAGATGGTGATTATGGATATCCAAGGGGAGGAATGCACTGCGGGGAAAAACAGGCTAACTATGGGGAGTAATTTCCAGACAAATAGCTATGCGAGTCTGTGCATACCTTGTCAGGAGCTTCTTTGGGGCAGTGATGGAAAGTACCAACATTTGGGACAATTAGACATAACTAGACAAAACACTTGGAGGGCACACTGCAGAGAACAGTCCTGCCCTTATTCCCCAGAGCACAGCTAGAGCCTAAGAGGTCTTGGCTACCTCTCACTTCTATGCAAGACATGTAAAACACCAAATCTTTCTGTTTTTGTGAAGATTTTATAATTCTACACTGACATAGGAGAGAAGACCAAGGCTAGAAAAGGCCTGCATTGCATCCTGAGACCATGCACCTTCATTGCTTATCACTTTTATTTCTTTCCCTGAATCTGAAAATATATTATTTGATCAATTGTTTTCCCTTCCTCCACGCACCACTCCTGGCAGGAATACCTAGTTCTGGCTTCTATTAATGATATCATTGTCTTGTTTGGCTCAATAGAGAAGACAGAGTGGGGTAGGAAGCCAGGTGTCCATTTCTTAATTAGGATCTGAAACCGAAACACTGTAAATTCAGATAAGGTTGCTTGGTTTCTTTGCTTCTGTTTTTCCCTAGAGGTACAATTGGATAACTAGACGTAGCTTTGACTGGGACTCTCAAAGGTGAGTGTGTGTGTTAAATGCCCAAACCCTGTCAAATATTGATAGGATTTAAAGGTTCAATTCCTCTAGACTCTTTTGACAATTTCAGCCTTATTAGTACACAATCAGTAAATGATTCTGTTTGAGGTTCCATTTATGGTTGTGCCAGTGCCATGAAAGGGCAGGGGCTGCAAAGGTGTCCTACCAACTGTTCTGTCTTTTTTCCTTAAGTTTACTTTATATATTGGATGCACTTGATGCAAGGAGGTGTCCTACCAAAGGTTTAATTTGAAGGCTGTGGACTCGATGGAGTATAATGGCCCATCTTTACTAATGGGGAGATGTGTACAAGAATGGGGCTAGAGGAATGCCAGGTAAAGTTGTTGCATAAGGAGGCCAAGATTGCGAGGATGTTCATTTTAGATACCTTGGCTTTTGGGTGTGCAATGTCAGACAGCAAGGGTCCAAATGCCCACAACTGCATTTGAAGTCAGTGGTAGCTGTGGAAGCTGAGCACCTCTAAATATGAGACAATTTGCTTTCTTCGATGGCTCACCCACAGTTAGGTTCAAATTCTAGGGTAACCACTGTGTTCACTCCCTAATGCACAACACAGTGTGTCCAGAGCCAGGAAAAACAGTTTGATTGATTGACTTCCTGTCTTGCATTTTAATGACTAAAATGTGCATGTACACACACATGCATGCACACACACATTTTCCTCTGAATTCCTTTGCTCCATTTTAGTGCACAAGTTTCAGTTCCCTTTATAGTGAACCCCACTTCAGCTGAGGTCAGGTTGTGAAGAATACCATTTTATTTATTTCACTACATGAAGGTCCCTCTGTGTCTTAAAGTTTTTTATTTTTTAGTTAAAATTGCTATTTATTCTCCCCCCAACACACACACGCACACACTTTTGGGCTCTGTTATTTTTGGAAATCTGCTATATTTTATTTCAATGTATAAGCCGCATTAATTCCTGAAAACAAGGTGTTCTTTAAGCAGTTTATCTTTCTGTTGCACTTTACCTCCCTTTGCACTGGGAATCTGCTTTTTCCAGGAGTTTGATCTGGTGGGAGGAGAAAGCAATTTAAAAATTGTTTCACTGTTTCTGCTCATATCCAGGTTAACAGAATGGAAAATGTATTTGCATGACAGATCCCTGCAGATATATCCTTCCCCACTGCCCCTTTTTCCTTATCTTCCTCTCCCACACCTGGTCTTTTTTATGCCCCTCACCCTCCTTGCATCAAGAAATACAGTAATGTCCCTTGAGCCTAGTCCTTGCATGGACATCCACTTCCTGTCACAGTGAGATCTACCTAGGATGCAAAACGTAGAACCAGGGTAAACATTGCACCTTAAATTTGGGGCTTTTGCAGCTCTTTTCCTCCATCATCCCCCAGCTTTATTTAGTATGTAGGCCCTGTAGGCCCTGATCCTCTCCAACTGAAACAATGAGAGTTTTGTTGTTGATTTGTCTATGGGTAGAGAAACATGTCATGATTAAAGAAGACAAGCAGCAGGAATAATAATACAGTGATATCTAGATAAGAGTGGTAGTTAGCCATGTTAGTCTAAAGTCAGAAGTCACTATGTAAGAGACTGTATTAAAGCAAACTCTTACCTAAATTGGGATACCATTAATGTTGCCATATGAAAAATTCTCCTCATTTTAGTAACCTGTAGGAACACTGTAGGTGAAAGATATTATCAAGGAATAACATTTCTTTCTCTCGTTCTGTCTTTTTCCTTAAGTTTACTTTATATATTGGATGCACTTTGCATGTAGTCATTTTCTCTGGTGTAGTCAAATTCTACTTTGCTGAACAGACCTTTATAAATTTCAGCAAGTTGAGCAGAAAGATCTTTGAAAATATATATTTTTAAAGTCTTTAAATAGTCAGGAACTAGCATTTAAAGTCAGTTCCAGTGAACACTAGAAAAAATTGTTTTAAAATATTCAAGTTGCCCATGTCTGTCTGAGGGATTATTTCAGGTGCCCCTCTACTTGATCTTTATTATAACATATTGGTTGAACAACCGTTCAATGTCATTCCTTTGAAGGATTAAGGCAGGTTTTAGTGTTTTGAACTTAAGAGGTATTCAGTGCTTCATCCAAGGATCTCAACGCACTTTGTAAAATGCATTTATCTTTAGTGAATCGCATGCATGTTCTTTAACCAGACATGTTTCTTTAAATGCTTTCTTTTAAGTGTTCCCAGCAGTGCTCTGCACTTTTCTATTTATTTTTGTTTTTTTAAAAGGGACCTAATATGAGGAAGTGGGTGGTCAGCTGCTCTTTGACTTCGAGGATAATATTTGGATTCCTGATTTGAATGATTTTTGCTGGATTTTTTTTCCATCCCTTGATGGAAAGCATGATGTGGTACAGTGCCCAACACAGTCTCTACCTTTTCCAAGTCAGGCTTGAAAGATACTAGGCAGGATAACATTGGCTGTGTGAACAAAGAAGAGAGAAGAAAAAAAGCCTACATACTTCATGTAGATGGACTACCTGGAAAGAAAAAATGGAGCATATGTGCATGTGGTGGGAGATAATTAAAGGTCCATATTGCAGAAAAGAAATACTGAGGAACCCCTGAGGACAATCCAAGTCCCAAGAAACAGGATGTTTCAACCTGAAGCAACTCTTCCTCCATGATGTTGCTGCCTCCACTGGTGGCTTCTTTTTGACGGTGTTTCTTTTCTGTCTTTCAGAAATCACAGCTCCCACACTTTGGATTAAGCACTTGGTCATTAAAGATTCCAAACTGAATAGCTCCAGCATGAGAAACTCAGGTAATGCTTGCTTTAAAAACATTTGGAATATAACTAAACAGTGATTCCTTATTTCACAGTATTTTTCACTTTGTGCTTGCTTATCTCTAATAGCAGTGCTGCTTTGTCACAACATTGCAGAGCAGGAATCTGAGGACACTAACAAGAGAGTCCTCTTCATTGTGCTCCTAAAGTCAGAGCAGGTGTATGCTGAGGCCTGTGCCTTCCCTCAAACAGGTATTGAAGGGAAACTGGGTTTCTTGGGTTTTATTGCCTCACCCCAGGACTGCCACCTACTTCATTTCACTTCCACTCTCCTCCTCATACCTTCCCAAGCTAAATTTTGGTGGAATATTCTTGCTGCAATGTGTGGCTTACATAGGACTGAGGTTGCTCCTGTGCCTAGGTTCCAGTATTTGTGATGTTCTTATAGAGAGAGAATGCTTTGGGTGACCAGAGGGAACTTCCATCATACCAAGTTTTAAGGTACCTTTTTTCTAATGATAACCCTGAAAGGTACATGATATAAGTGTTACTGGGCTTTAAATGAATGAATATAGAGAATTCTTACTTCCTATAGCAGGTTGAGAAGGAATACCCATGTATATAAGACACCATGGAAGAAATGAACGTGCAAAGAGTAAAACATCACAGGGAGCAGCATGGGGGGTGGCTCAGGTAGGAAGAGTGCAAAGACGAGGAAGTAGGTAGAAATAAGAACATCCATACAACAGGAAGTAGAAATTGTAAGAAGAAAGAGCTTAGATTTTGATAGAAGAGTGGGGAAAAGTTATGAGAGGGAAGTGAGGTCTGAACAATAGGAGAAAATGACTGTTATCGGTGTACATTTTTTGCCTTGCACTGAAGGGAAACAAGATGGATGATGGGAATTGGGAGGCTAGAAAAGATTAGGATGCCAGAGATGGCCGCAGTTTTGGTTTACAGTTCTGAAAAACTGTTGTCACCATCAAACAAGTTTTTATAAACAGTTAAAAAGTACATCTGCAATAGCTCATGTAAAACTTTATTAGATCACTTGGGCTAGGGACAGACATTAAAAAAGCCTGAGCCTGAATTGATTCACTCTTTGCAGGTTAATCTAAGCTGTGCAACTTAAACTGATTAATAACTGGACAAACATTCTCTGTTAAATCAGGAAATACAGGCACGTGCCTGTCATGGCTCAAGCCAGAAGCCAGAGGATACTAGAGCATGCCTGGCAGCCATTGCCAAAGGGGAGGAAAGAGAGACTCCCTCCCTGCTAGAGCGGAGATGCCAGGCACCAGCTGGGGCTCACAGGACACACAGGATGCCAGCCACCAGCCTAGGGGTGGGGAAGGGAGGAGCTGCTGCCAGACTGAGAAGTGGGGATGGGAAAAAAGTCCCTTCGCTGAAGCAAGCATGTATTGAACACAGCAATTTGCAAAGCATACAACAAGGAATTATCAAAAATCTTCCCCTAAGCTAAGATACAGCCCAATAAAACACAGCATACACAACTTAGTCTAACTTAAAATGTATAGAGAAAGCCTTGCATAAGTCTTACTAATCCTGAGGGCAGAGGCAGGCATTCAGAAAGGCTTTGTTTAGGTTTCACAGGTTCTGCTTTATAATGTAAATGTATATAGTTCTCTGCATTGTTTGGTCTGCAACTTCCCTTAACTTCATCTCCAGCACATATGTGTATTGATTGTCAGGTTTTTGCCAACACTTCCCACCTCTCAGGCTGGTCCTGCAGGTCTTAGCTCTGGGCTCAGAAGTGCAGGTCTTGGATCTGCACACAGGGTTCTAGCTTGCCTCTCTCCCCTGCTCCAGGACCACTGGAATTAATCCCCTCCCAGGTAAGCTGACTGAGGGAGGAATTAACTCCATCTCTGCCTGGCTGCAGGAAAGTCATGGAGGTGTGGTTGGGGCTGCCAAACCCCAGTTGCGGTCCACAGGGTTTGCAAGGGGGCGAGCAGAGCAGAGGGAGAGGGGACGGAGGGAGGAATTTGCCTCAGCAGTCAAGGCAGGCCAGCGTCTGGCCATGCCCCACCCCTGCCCAGCTAGAGAGCAGAGGGGAGGGGCCAGCCCAGCTCTCTGGAGCAGAACCCAGCCCAGAGAGCATGCTGGGATGCTGGGGGTCTCTGATTTAACTTAAACCAGCAAGGAGTCTGGGACAGACATTGCATAAACCGGTTTGAGCCAATCAGTTAAGTCTGATACTACATTCAACCAGGTTTATCGCAAACTGGTTTCAGCCATTTTCAAAGTGATTTATGTGCACTGAATGTCTGTTCTGTTACAGGTTTAAACCATTTTCTGATCACTTAAGTTTGTTTAATGTCTGTCCCTAGCCTTGGGAGGCAGTGCAAACTACTGCTTAGTGTGCTAGATTCTTGGTTTTCTTCTTAGTATAGCCACTGTCTCTGTGGTCTTGGGAAGTTCACTTAACCTCTCCATGTCCTTTCCCTATTGTAAAGTAAATGTGATGCTTTTCTGGCAAAGCCTGCTATATTGCTGCCATATAGTCAGTGTGGACAAAAAATATTAAGCTGGAACCAGAATATAACAAGTCTGACTGCCAGTCTTCTGCTCTAACCACTAGAAATTCATATCTTCATGACCTTCAGACTGGGTTTATAGCACTTTTGGTCTGTGAGGACGCTCTCTCTGAAGACACTCCTCCTCCCCGCAGAAACTTCACCTTGTGTGGAATCATTGTGCTTGCTTAGTGATGTTTTAAGTGCAGAGCAAATACCACCTGTGCTCTGTGAGCTGCCTGTGGTATAATTCAAGGCAGTGGGTCTGCTCTCCCGAGCCCTATAGAGTTTTGTCCATGGCTATTTTGGAACCCGGTCTCTCCTTAAGTCGCTATCCTGGCCACTGAGATAAGATGAGATGCTCTTGCTTCCAATTCCCAAGTTTAAATTCTGGGAGGTGATTAAAGGGGTGTCCTTGGAGAATGGGGTTTTGGTTCTTACTGTTCCTTGGCCTGAGACATCCCAAGTTTGTTGATATTCAGGGTGTGCTGCAAGGGCTGTCTGTTTGTTCAAGCTTTTCCTCGGGAAGCTCCCTTGTGTAAGAGGGAGGTTGCTTGGGAAGGAGCTCCTTTTGTGAGATTGTTTTTGTCTATTCTAGTCTTACCTGATAATTTCTTCTCTCTTATTTTTTTTAAAGCTACTCTAAACTAACCCAGAGGCTGCAATGGGCTTTTATTTTATAAATCCCAAACTAATTCTTCCCTAGAGAATGAAAATGAGTGTAAAGAGGCAGCTGTCATAGCCAGCTAAAACAGGATGGTCGGATAATCTCGGTGAACATTACTGATGCTTTTATAAAATTCATTTGCCCTACTACCTTGCAGTTGATTAAGAGAAGTTAGTGATTCTAGGCTCAAATTTTCACACTGTGCCACACAAACAAGCAGTCATTTCTATTCGTTACTATAAATTATTAACATTGGGAAATGCTGCTTCATGAAAATGAGGTTATGGAACAGCTGACACATTTTAAACATACAACTCTTAGCTTCCTCCCTGCTGTTTTTCTTTTTTGGATCTTTGGCATACGTGGCAAAGGACAGCATCAAACATTTAGGATCTGTGGATGAAAACTTCTGTATGAGAGCTAAGTAGCATTGTTAATGAAAAGTATTGCATCTTTAAACGTCCGTTAATTTGTTTACCCACTGTGAAACACTAATCTGAATTAAATTGGACGTCTGAAATTAGTGGACGCTTTTGGTAATTTTAGCCCTTAACAGCTTGAGATCTTCCTGTACAGTGTATTTCCATTTTTTCTTGTGTGTGATGTTTCATGTTAGGGTTAGAGTAAATTTTTACTACCATAGGGTTAGACTTTGCTTTTAGTGATTGCTTGGATGTATTGCCTGAGTCCTAGCTCCTGTATTTATGTGGGCAAGTGGCTTAAAACCTTCTTACTACAACTAATGGAATAGCCTGAAGTTACAGGTGGAAAAGACCTACTCACTCATTTCATTTCACCATTTGCTTCTCCCCCCACTCTGACCATTGCCTGTTTACTCCATACAATGGATAATAGTTTCTAGCATAATTTGAGTCCCTCAAGCAATAAAGCATTTACCACTTCCTGGAGGCAGCTGTTCTGTAGTCTAATACGACTTGACTCCAGACAGGTTTTCCTAATATACAACTTACATTTTCTTTTTTATTGATTTATCCTTATGACTTCCAGGTTCTACCTCTTTGTATTACCCTAATTCATTCCTTGGTGCTGTTGTTTTTCTTCTTTTTTTTTAAATTTGGTTCCTGGGCCACCCATGAGTCATTCAGCCATGTATTCAGAACCTAACAGAGTTCAAGCAATTATTGTTTTCACAGTAACTGTAATCTGCACTTGTATTGGACAACCATGGGGCACCATATTGTGGCCACACCCATCATGAGAAGAGCATAGAAGTTGCCTACCAGATGAGACAAGTGTCGTCTGATTTGGCCATTTTCAGATGATTCAGAGAAGGCTGCTAGTATTCTCCTAATGGACTACGAACAAAAATTGTTTTTGTGTACCTTCCTTTATAGCTTCTGTCAACTAGATACTATTTTGTAGTTTTCAGTATCCATTTGATTTAAAAAAATACAGGTGAAAAGAATGGGACTTGGGATTTAACTGTGAAGCTTGGAAAACTGAAGTCATGGACATTCAGTGACCATTTCCCCCCACCATGTAAACTCTAAACAAAATTGTCTTCATTAGCACTTTTGCCCCATTCTGCTGTGGTTTAACATACCACCATATGCAGTAATGTGGCCTTAAGCCTTGTTCTACCTCTGGATTTGTTAAGTGAGTGGCTGGTAGCAGTCTTCTTTCTGCTTTTTCCCCAGCCTCTCCTATGTTATGCAACACACAGGTGTTGGTGGTGCAGGTTCCATTCACCCAGTAGGTCTGCTGGTGAAGGACAGCCAGCCAGGATATGGTAAACCAGGGCTTCATTCCCTTATTTTCTTCAGTTCCCTTTGCTGTCTGAGGTGGTTTGAACTCTTATTTCACCTCCTAGG